TATTTGCATGAATTGAATCCACAGATCATTCACAGAGACATTCATCCGGGAAATATATTGATCGCTAAAGATGTGGGGAATGGGAGAGTTGTGAAGTTATGTGACTTTGGTTTGGCTACAGTTCACGACAAACTGATTCACTATCGAAAATCTAAAAAGCATACGGCAGATGTTGGTCACATTAATTATATGGCACCAGAGGTATGGCAAAACGAACCCTATGGACCTAAAGCGGACGTTTACAATATGGGACTCATTGGTGGGAAAATATTTGAGATTGAAATTTTGGACCCAAACATGAGTATAAAACTTTCCCACTTTATCATATACTAGGACATTTTAAAACAAACCTCATATTTGAACTTATTTATTAATTAAATAATAAGTAATTTATGTAAAAATCTTAAAAATTTATAAAAATTAGCGTTTGATTCAAAAATAATGAGAGATGCGGGTTTTGTTTTAAAATTCTTTTTTATCAAATTTAATATTAAATTTTTTTATATCCATACAATGTGTTTAATTAGAATATACCGACAGCAATGATGCCTTAACAGTTCATGCAAATAAATTGCAAACTACCCTGACATCTATGCTAACGTACCCTGTATGGCGAAATCGTCCGGATTGCAGTGAAGTATTGTCTGAATATAACGAGTGGTCTATCGATAGGAATATTCTCGCAAATGATCCCCGATTTGAGTCCACATTAAGTAGACTTCAATCCCATGATAACCAGTTTTTCTATTCATTTTTGACATCAATACTTAATCGAGAATAAAATGAAATTGTTTTTATACTGTAGTTTATTATTAAATTACAATTGAGTACACTTTAAAATTTTCATAATTAAAATATTGTTTATTTTATTATATTAATGACAAAAAACTTTAACTTTTTATTATTACTTATAATTACTATATGATAATTGCAACTAAATTAGTAAGATTAAAAATTTTACGAAGTTTTTATTCTAATGATAAATATTTTTAATTATAAAACTATTTGATATGATTTTTGTTTTGTATCGCATTTATATGGCTATTATATTATTATTTTTATTATTATATAACTATTATTACTCTTAATATTAGTGTTAAATATATCGTTACTTTCATTATTACTAATAATAATCCGATTAATTGTTTGTATCATATATTTATAAATAATAACTGAATTCAAAAATTTATAATAAATAAAATTAAATAATTAATGTCAAACAAATTATGTATAATTATAATTTTCTTAGAGATAAAGCTATGATAGCGTACATAAATATGCTATCAAGTATACCTTTTGTAGTAACTAATAGGAACTAGATTATTTTAAATTGCTGATGTGGAATGTGAGTTTTAAAAATAATTATTAGTATTTAATTTTACTTTTTTAAATATAATGTTTAAATAAAGTTTTAGAGATTTATGACAATAGTATTCTAGCTATAATTCACTTATTTACAATCAGTAATTAATAAGTACAATATTTGTATAATTCATACATAATGTCCATCTCTTTTGTCGAGAAATTTGAGATTTTCTCACAAATCGACACAACTATCAGGCAATCGGTGAAAATATTTCACGTGTTTAACGCCGGAAAGAGTGCACTGTTTGTGACAAACGACGACTTAGTGTACGGTTTGGGGGATAACACCGGAAGGTATTTCAAGTTGGGTCACTCCAACCACATCCCCACTCCGACCCTTATCTCAGAGTTGTGTCACAAACGGGTTAAACAGTTCATCAATAGCTTGGGCGTTGTGTTTACTATCACTGCCGACCACCATGTGTTTAGGTTTGGAGACAAATGGATTCAAACCATACATGAGGTATCGTATTTGAATGACAAGAATATCGCACAAATATGTTGTGGTTATCAGCACTCCCTGGCCCTCACCACAGATGGACAGGTTTATGCGTGGGGCGATGATTTGTGTTATAGAATAGATTTTGATCGATATGTTGATGAAAAATACAAGCCAATTAAATCGGAATTCGTAAACAAGCATGTTATAAAATCGATATATTGTAACTTGAGATGTTCGTTTGTCGTTACTACTGAGGGTCGAGTGTTCATTTGGAAAAATAGTAATAAATGTTTCCCTTCTGATCTTAAAGAAATTAAAAAAACACTAAATTCAAAAGTATTAGCAACAATAAGTAATATAAAATCGATCGCATTTTATGACTATCAGACTTATTTTCTGACAAATTCCGGTCAAATATATATTGCCACTCAACTTAGAGGTTTTATGTATGGAGATAATACCTTTAAGTATGGAGATCCGATACAATTGGAGTATTCGTGTCAAGAATTGCAACAATATTATTCGCACAATGATTTCGAAAATTTGAGTTTATTGATGAATGATAAAATTTATAAATTAACCCTTGGTAATAAATTTGTCGAGACGGAATATGGTAATTTTAATGATTACTTCGCTGAGATGTACGAGATCACTTATAACACGCAACTTAACGTAAATTCACCACTGCCATCTCAAATTCGAAGATTTTTCATCTCATTTGATAAATTAAAAGAGATTGGACAGGGTGGTTTTGGTGTAGTGTATCAAGCGAGATATAAACGTGATAATCATATATATGCTATTAAAAAGATTGATACTAGTGGTAAGTATAATATTTATAATAATTTATAATAAATGTGTTTGTAATTTTATTTTTTTAAAAAGATTTTAGTGACAAAGAGATAGATAGATTATCAACAGAAGTAAATATATTAAATGCTGTTGAATCACAATATGTGGTCCAGAATTACGGCTCATGGGCTGAAAGTAAATATTTTTACATTCAGTTGGAGTACTATGAATCGGATAATATTGATAAGTTTGTTGAACTCAAACGGCAAGTATTTGGTCGTCAATCAGGGGAACCTATGGATTGTGTCGAGTATTTGATTTCGTGTGAAATATTCCATCAGATCTTAGAAAGCGTTCAGTATTTGCATTCAAAACACATCATTCATCGGGACATTAATCCGGGAAATATATTAATCGCCAAAAACATAATGAACGACAGATTTGTGAAGTTATGTGACTTTGGTTTGGCTACAGTTCACGACAAACGGGTTCATTACCGGACTACACGAAAGCATACGACAGATGTTGGTCACTCTAGTTATGTGCCACTGGAGGTAATGCGTGGCGAAAAATACGGTCCCAAAGCGGATGTCCATAACGTGGGACTAATTGGTAGCGAAATATTTGAGTTTGATTTGTCTGATTGCGACCCAAATAAGCGTATATAAAAATACTTCCATTTTTATTTTATATGTATTAAAATATTAATTTATTTTTTTAAATTTAAATAATAAGATTATTTTTCAAATGGCGTATTAAATGAGCGCGCATATTGTTTGCATACTACCCTGGTATCTATGGTTATATCACCCAATTGGAGGTCTAGACCGGAGTGCAGTGAAGTATTGGCTAAATATAACGAGTGGTCTATCGATAAGGATATTGTTATCAAAGATCCGAAATTTGTTTCCATAAAAGAAAGGCTTAAATCAAATAAGAATACGATTTTCTATGATATTTGCGATTATATCCTGAATGACCCTGATACATCGGTCATAAATGACCAACCAGGTTGTAGTGGCGAGGGTGGATCAAAAACAAAACGCATCAAAATTTCTTAAATTATCTTTGTCAATTTTAGAAAATACTTATAGCTAGTACAGTATTTCAACTAAAATTTATTTATTAAAATCAATTGTAACTAAAATGTTACTATAAATGCACATTACTTAAATTTTTATTAAGTGACCTTATAATTACTTATTTTATATCTAATGATTTTATTTTTGAATACATTAGTTTTGTATTTAAAAATTTTTATATAAACATATTTTACAAACAATTTATCAAGGTACATAGAACATAGGTACATTAAACTTTGATCAAATATATTATTTTCATAATGTTTCATTTGATATAATACCTAGCACTAATCTACCCACACATTTGAATTGTGTTTGCATTTATTAGACATTCATTAATTGCAATATTGTTGACCAGTAGTGCCACATATAGATGGTATCTTAATTAATTATATTTTATTGTTAATAATTAATTAATATCTATACAATTTAGACAAACATTTTATTATATAAATTAATGACAAAAATAGATTCAATGCTCTTTTATATGTTTTTAACATTTTAAAATTAATTGATTATTAATATATCATTACTATATTATTAATAAATTGCTTTAAATGATTCTTAATTTATTTCAAACTTTATTTCAGTATTTTCAAACTTTTTATTATTACTTACTATTATAATACTAAATTATATTTTTTATTTAATGATAAATATTTTAATTATATAAAACAATTTGATATGATTTTTGCTTTGGATCGCATTTTTATTACTAATATTACATAATAATTATTATAACTTATTATTACGGTAGTGTTAAAATATAACCAATTATATTTTTATGTGTTTTAAATTAAATAATAATCATTATTAATTGTTTGTATTATATATAATATATATAAATAATATTTTAAAGTAAACACGATGTCAAACTCGAAAACCTATGTTTAAATTATGAATATTTAGTAATACCATATAAATATATGAAGTTTATAGTGACAAATAATCAAAAAATTATTATTATAACTGTAAGGATAGATGAGTTAGACTGGTTTTCATTCTTATATTTCAAAACTAAATTAAAAGAAAACCACATGAGATTTTTAATTAGTTAATGAATTGAATCCACAGATCATTCACAGAGACATTCATCCGGGAAATATATTGATCGCTAAAGATGTGGGGAATGGGAGAGTTGTGAAGTTATGTGACTTTGGTTTGGCTACAGTTCACGACAAACTTTTCAATATTATCCGATTCAATGTACTCCATCTGAATGTAAAAATATTTGCCTTCATCCCATGAGTTGTAATACTTGACCACATATTCTGATTCAGCTGTTTGTAATGTTTGCACTTCTCTTAATAATTTATTTTTCTCTAAACCTTTTTAATCACAAACATATTAAAAACTAAATATTTTCAATTACTATAAATTTAATACTTACCACTAGAATTGATCTTTTTAACAGCATATATAAGATTATCACGTTTATATTTTGCTTGATACACTATACTAAAGCCACCCTTTCCAATCTCTCTTGGATCATCAAATGAGATGCGAAATCTTCGAGTTGTAGATGGCAATGGTGAAAGTACATTAAGTTCAGTGTTATACGTAATTCCGTGAACCTCAGCAAAGTAGTCGATAAAGTTATCATATAAGGTCTCCACAATTTCATTATCATGGGTTAATATATAAATTTTATTATTCATTAACAAACTCAAATATTTGATTTCATTGTATCTACTGTACGAATAATATTGCTCTAGCTCTTGACACGTATAATTTAACTGTGTCAGATTTTCAATCTTATTACCATTTAACTGCTCGCAAAAATATAATTGACCCGAATTTTTAAGAAAATAAACATTACGATTCGTTGCGATTGATTTTACATTACTTTCTAATATGTTTGTCTCTACTTTTGTAAAAATAATCCATGACCTTGTTACAAGCGAAACAAACGGACTAGCATATTCCCGGCCCAACACTTGACCCTCGGTAGTCACGGCACACGAACATTTAGAGCCACAATATATCGATTTTATAACACTTTTGGATCCCACTTTAGCTATTTGGTATCTTACACGATGATCATCATCCTTATAACCTGTCAACTCGTACACCTGTCCATCGGTGGTGAGGGCCAGTATGCGTTCACTACCGCAACATATTTGTGTGATATTCTTGTTATTCAAATTCGATATCTCTTGTGGTACTAGAGATATGCAGTTATCACTAAAGGTAAACTTGAAATTAAATATCCACATATGGTTTTCCACGAAAATCGCATACGGATGCACAGTTCCCCAACTGTACACATGGCTGTCGGCAGTGATAGCAAACACAATAATATGCGTAAAACCCGAGAAACTCGTGAACTGATTAACCCGTTTGTGACACAAATTTAAGATACGGGTCGGAGTAGGGCTGGGGTCGCGGTGACCCAACCCGAGACACCCTCCGGTGTTGTCCCCCAAACCGTACACTAAGTCATCGTTTGTCACAAACAGTGCATTCTTTCCGGCGTTAAACACGTAAAACAATTTCACCGATCGCTTGATAGTTGTGTCGATGTCCGAGAAAATGCGAAACTTCTCGACAGAATAGAAGGACATTATGTATGATTTATACAAATATAATACTTTTTAATGACTGCATATAATAAGTAAACTATAGTTTCAAAACTATTCTCAATCTTAAACTTTTTTATAGACTATTTTAAGCAAGTCAAATTAAATACAGATAAATATTTTTAAAACATATTCCACCCAATTGTTTATAACGCCATTTAAATGCCAGTTTGCGTATGAACGTTGCAATACGTAATACGCTATATAAATGCTATTTACAGTGGACTGGTAACTATCCCAATGCCATGACATAACAGTGCTGTAATATATGAAACATATTGTGCAACCAATTATTTAAATCTCAATATCACACACTTGTCACTACT